TCCCCAGCTAAGCTCTTCAACTGCTCTTGGCCCTGATTTCTCCCCGCTGAACAGTCTTTTGCAATACCCCAGGAAAGAAATGATGAGGGTCTGGAATAGGTTGGTGGTTGCATATCTCTATATTAGCAACTTCATAGTGTCCCTGTGGATCAGGGTCAGTGGAGGAAGGCATCCTGAAGTCACTGGCCTTGTGTCCCCAAGTCTGGGGTCTTTCTCTAGAATCATACTTGCACCACTGAACGTATCTTAATGTCTGCTACAGGCAAGTTTTGTGTTGATTGTCCAGACAGCTAGACTTGCTAGTTATAGCTCTGAAGACAGTGCAGAAATTAAAAAAAAAAACCAACTTCTATTTCCATAAGTTGAGTGCTAAAGTGTATAAATTATCACTCTCCTCACAAATCTTTTGAAATCCTACCATCACCACCATCAACAACAATGTGCATTTCTATAGGGTTTTAAGGATGTAACCAACATTATTTCCACCTTTTTCTCTCAAGTTACTCCTCTTTAAAATGAGGGGGTTGGACAAGATGATCTCTGAGATCCATTGTGGATCAGAAAGGGGAATTTTAGAGTTCACCATCAAGGAGGTGCGATACAGTTTCAGATGACGGTGAAATCTAGAGTGTCATCAAGCCTGTGGGTAGCTGCAGGGTAGCATGGGGATGTAGTTGATGGCTATTGAGGAAGTTAATGATCTTGGAGGTGAGAGAATTTAAATAGACATTAGAAGTCCCCAGGGATGGAGGCAGGGTTGATGTAGTGAGTAGTTCTGTGAGATGGCTACTGAACTGATTGGGAAAGGACGGAGAATGACTTGGAGGGTGATAGATAAAAGCAACAAAAATTTCTACAGGGTGATAGAGAGGAGAATCGAACCTCAAACGAGAAAAGCTACAGAGGGAGAACCTTGGAGGGAGAATGGAAAGTAGCACCTTCTAATCTGTTTGTTGGTTTGTTGGGGTTCATGGAAGAAGGAGCAGCCAGCCCTGGGCAGGGTGACAAGTCTTCAGGAAAAACCCGTATTTCTGTGAGTATCAGGAGACAGAAAGAGGAAGCAATCTAGGACAAAAGAGCGTTTGATAAGAGTACATTGCGGGGGAAGGAGCAGCTAGATGGCACAGTGGATAGAGTACTGGCCCTGGATTCAGGAGGACCTGAGTTCAAATCTGGCCTCAGACACTTGACATTTACTAGCTGTGTGACCCTGGGCAAGTCATTTAACCCCATTGCCTAGCAAAACAAAACAAACAAGCAAACAAACAAAAGAGTACATTGGGGATTCCAGAAGGCACAGGGAAAGGTGAGAAGATGGAGTAAATAAGGAATGAAGAATGGAAGGGCTAAGCTACATAGACATGAGAGGGAAAGGTATACAAGAATGGTCACTTTGAACAGATTGGGGGGAAAAGAAAATGAATATTAGAACAAGGGAACTATAAACTGGTCTGAATACTCAGTTGATTAGAGTCAGGGACAGGAAGGTCAAAGATGACAGTATGAATGAATGAATGAATGAGCATCTATTAAGCATTTATTATATTCAGACACTGTGCTAAAAGCTATGGATATAAATGAAAAAAGCAAGACACTTCCTGCCCTGATGACATTCTCAACAGGGAAGACAGCACATATAGAACAGGTGTGGCTTGGGGAGGCCTATTTTGGTTTGGGAAGTCATAGGCATAGTGAGGGGAACCACAGGACAACTGATTGAACAGTCCTTTCCAGAAATGGAAATACTGAATGAATGAGAAAAGAATGTATTAAAGACATCCTATGTGTCAAACACTGTGCTATATTTATATCCTTGGAGATACAAATAGAAAAAGCAAAGGAGACTCTGCTCTCAAGGAGCTCGCACTCTAATTGGCAGAGACAACAAAGAACAAAATTTGAACTATAGCACAGAAATACTAAGGGAAAGAAGGAAAGAAATAAGCACACATTAAGTGCCTACTATGTGCCAGGTACTGTGCTTAGTGCTTTACAAGTATCATCTCATTTGATCCTCACAGTAATCATGGGAGGTAGGTGTTATTATTATCTCCATTTTACAGATGAGGAAACTAAGGCAGATAGAATTTAAGTGTCTTGCCCGGAGGTCATACAGCTCAGAAGTGTTGGAGGCTGGGTTTAAACTCGGGTCTTCCTAACACCAGGCCCGGCACTATATCCACTGCACAACCAAGTTGCCTTGCAGTGGAGTAGATGGCAAGGACTGGGTGCCCTTAGGTTGCATCAGTATATTCTCTATGAGGAAGAGAAGCTGGGCCTGGCTTATATTGAGGCACCCTTTCCAATAGCACCTGTGGGACTATGGTCTTTTGACCGGTTCTAGACCTGGCAAGAGCTCCCTTGTGGATGTCCCACTGGCATGAGCCCTCAAACCTTAACACTCTCCTTTCTTAGACAACTTCTCTCATCCAAACAGTGAATGAGAAGTATTAAAGGCAGTAGGGAGAATAAGAAAAAGTCAAGTACAAGTCACAGAAGGTACAGGTCTAACTCCCTATACTATAGGGGAGATAACATATGTTCTCTTCTGAACACAGAGGAACAGGGGAATGAGAACAGTGAAGAGTTAGGGCTAGAAATCTGCATCAACATGAACAGATGCCTGGTGATAGGGTCTCCACAGGACAGTTAGAGCTCACGCATAATACCAGAGCAGTGTTTTCTTTCACCACTGCCTAGACTGGGTGGCCAGGGACCCCAAGGGCTAGAAGACCAAGGGAGAGAACCTGACAAAGAATGCACTCCTTGAATTCTTTGGCCGGATGATTTCTCCCTTGTGTCACAATCTTAAACATTTCAACTTCCTTTAACCCATCTATGTATGGAATGGCCTTCTGGTCACCCTCCTCAAGCCACATTCCAGCTTATCAATCTTTCTTAAATGGTGGCCATGGAATTGAACACAAAAACTCCAGATGTAATGTGACCAGGGCAGAGGTCAGCTGAACTATCCCCTTCCTCTCTCTGGATATCTGACTTCTTATAATGTGGACTAAGATCACAGGGTCTTTTTTTAGTTGTCATTTAATTGGAAGATGACATGTACACAGGAAAAATTCAATGACAATAGAAGGAAGGCAAGGATTTTTGCCAAATGAGGGATAAAGACTTGTGTTTTAGGACTTTACAGATGGATTTGATTGATAGTTACCCATTGCACCCCACTTTCAGTAAGTGATAAGATGCTCTATCAATTAGATAATCAATCATAGGCTTTAGACTAAGTGTGAAAAGTTTTTGAAAGCCTTTTGATGAAGCAGAACGATTCCAAACAGGAAGTCTTTTCCAAGTGGCTGAAAGATTTCATCATGTCTCCGGGATCCTGTATTAAAAGCATGGAGTGCTTTTCCAGCTAATTGCTGGAATTAGACAATTTCAGAAATTGGAATAAGCATGACTTTCCAGTAAAATCCTAGAAGAGGAACTGTATGGGGAGGAAGGAGAGCCCACTGCTTTGGCCTCGGTCAGGTCTCCTCTCCCCACTTCGGCCAGAGGAGGATTTTGCAAGTTTGGAAGATTTAGAGGCTTTTGGACTTCCCATTTCATTCTGAGGGGGAGATGGAGCCTTTCTGTTTGACCTGATAGTTGATTAGAAGAATAAAAATGAGATTAGGATCCTCAGAGCTTACATGAGCTTTTCCTTCATTGTGGTCATCAGGTAAATTACTCTCCTGATCCTGTTTATTTTGCTCTGTCTCGAGTGATACACTTCTTCACAGATTTCTCTTATTTCTTTGTATTTGCCATTTATTATGACACAGTAATATTCCATTATGTTAGTGTCATTTGTTCAGCTATTCCCCAATCAGTGGGCATCCATTTTGTTTCTAATTCTTTGGTATTGTAAAAAATGCAATTCTAAATATTTTTGCTTATATGGTGCCTTTTCCTCTCTCTTTGACCTTCCTGGGGTATGTGAGAAGAAGTTGTTTTCCAGAAAAGTTACAGCAATTTACAGAATTTGGAGTATCCAGGCAACCTTATGAGTTTCAGGGATCCAAAAGTCCCATCAGAGATCCTATAAGAGCTGATCTAGAGCAGTAGCAGTGGCCCCTGGAGGGACACTGGCCAATGATAGTGGAAGCATCTCTTAATATAGCTCTAAAAATATGCATGAAGACAGTCACTCAAAGATTGCAAAGGCTTCATGGAGTGTGACCCTGTTATGATGCAGAGAAATGTCAGCTATGAATTCTAGAAAAATACCAAATCTAAGAGTCCAACATAGAGCTACACCTAAGGCAAACTTGGTGAAGACTCCATGAAAGAAGAAAAGGACTCCTAGTGTCAGGAGTTGAAAGATACCCTCCTCTGTCCTAAGTGTTCTCTAGATGTATGTCTTATTACCTTTGTACTTTAAGACTGAACCCACCATCCCCAGAGACCTTGTGCGTGCAGCAGAAAAGTATACAAGAACCAACTGTTTTTGCTATACCTTCTCAGAAAATATCTTTGCTAGAACGTATTTTAGCTGGCTGGTAGTTAAAGGGGAAGCAAACTGATGGGGGCTCATTAGTGACAGTACACAAGCCTAGCTCCTCAGGACTACCCTTAAAACACTGAGGGTAGTTAATAGTCAACTGCCCTCTGGGGACCCAATCTGCCAATGCAAGTGAGAATTAAGAAAGTAGGCCCAGAGGGGGTGTTACAATTCATGTAAGTCCCCACTATGTCTTGGTAGATTTATCCCAGATATTTCATGCATTTTGTAGTTATTTCTAATGGAATTTCCTTTTCCTCTCTCCTGCTGGGTTTTGTTAGTAATATACAGAACAGCTGTTGATATTTTGTAGTTGTTTTTTTTAAATTTTGCATCCTGCTATTTTACCGTGTCACTAATTGTTTTGATTAATTTTTTCATTGACTCTCTAGGATTTTCTAAATAAACCATTGTACTATATGCAAATATAGCTAATTTTGCCTCCTCCTAGCCTATGCTTATTCTTTCAATTTCATTGCCTTAAAACAGAACAGACCAGAAGAAAACTTGGTTAGATGCCACAAAGTCAGCAGCAACCCTTAACCACGGTGTGTGTGGTAAAGGTTACTGACCTCTCTTCCATCCTCAATGAGGGGAGTGCTAACCTTCTCTTTTATATAACACCAGTTGAACCTTGAAGGAAGAGCATGACTTCCATGAGCAGGGAGGGGAAGGGAGATATTTCTGGTGAGATGAATGGGGCGAGCAAAGGGACATGGCTAAGGCATGTGAAGGGCAGAGAATACATCTGATCCATGGCCATTTCAGACTTCTGCCAACTTACTCAATAGCTTTCACAGTCTGATGGGACTACAGCATTGCCCTCAATAGTTTCCTTTCAAGCTTGGTAGGTCACAACCCCTCCCTAGATGAAGGGCCTTCCTTTGTCCCATATCCATTTATCCAAAGGAATTCCTCTTCTCATTTCTCCACTAGTCCATCCTAACTGCTACAAGACTCAGAACTGCCCATTTGAAAGATGTTGAGTTCCTAAGGGCAGAAGCCATGCTGTGCCTTAGAAAGGGTGGTCATAGTCATCAGATTTAGGTTCACATCTTGACTGTCATACTTAAATGTTCATGTCCGTGGACAGCTTCAACTTTCTGAACATGTTTTCCTCTTTATAAAATGGGGATAGAAATAATTCTCATGGGGATATTATAGAGAAATAGTTTATAATTCACAAAGCACTATTGAATCATGAGATATTATTCTTACTTCTTGGAATAGTAAACAAACAAGCAAAAAATAAACTAGAAACACTGTTAAGCAGCCAAGGTCAGGAGTCTCTAAGATTTTTTTTCTCCATAAATCGATCCATCTTCCAACTGGGTGGCTGAACATGATTATTGGTCCAATGTGACTTCCTTTTGGTTTAAAATACTGAAAAGGACCAATATGGTGCTACAGGATAAAACTGGGATTTCTCAAGCTAAGGTTGTATGTTTCCTTGACTGCTATATGCTTGGAAGGACTAGTGTTTCTTCCAAAGATCCTGCAATGACCTACTTGGGCTATGCAGTGTTTAGGATTTATCTTGTAGGGCATAGGATCTTTGAATCATAAGGACCTTTTGAGATCATCTAGCTTAGAGGTTCTTAATATTTTGAGGCTATATACCTCTTTGGCTATTGGATGAAACATATGGATTCCTCGGGATAAATGTTTTTAAATGCATGAAATAAAATGCATAGGATTACAAAGAGAAGCAAATATATTTAAAACAGTTACGAAAAATCTTTAATCTAATCCAATCCCTTAGTTTTATATATAGGGAAATTGATCCCCAGGGATAACTTTTCCTACAGTCACACAGCAAGTTAGAAGCCCCTGCTCTATTCGCATCACTTGTAGAAGATGATACTTAGTTCTGAGTGTCATATTTTAGGAAGGACCATAGCAAACTGGAACATGTCTTTCTGGGGGCAGATATGATGGTGAAAAGGTTGGTACCCAGGAGATTGGAGGAAATGGAGCTGTTTAACCTGGAAAGAGAAGAGTTTGAGGAGGCATAAATTGTCATCCTCATGTATTAGAAGGACTGTCATATGGAAGGGAGATTAGACTGGTATTGTTTGGTCCCAGGGGCCAGGACTGAGAGCAATGTATGGGAACTGAAGAGAAGCAGATTTGTACTTGATATAAAGGATAGCGGAGGAGGATAGAAATGAAGGAAACCCTCCCCACAATTAGAACTGTCCAAAGGTAGAAAAACGGGCTGTTTTTGAAAGGTAGTGAGCTCCCCATAACTGAAGGTCTTCAGCTAGACACTGGATGATCATTTTCCAATAATTCTGTAGAAAGGATTCTTAATGGATAGTAGGATTTGGACTCTGAGATACCTTAGTTCTGAGTACTAATAGTTTGAGGTCTCCTATTTGATCCACTGCTTTTCCTACTTATCCATTAGATTGTGAGCTTCTTGAGGCCAGAGACTATCTTTTGCCTGGTTTTGTATCCCCAGCACTTAGCACAATGCCTGGTATGTGGTAGGTGTGTTGGATTTTTCTCCAAACTTATCCTTAGTGTTTTTTCTTTTAACTGGTAAAGGTAACAGTGAGTTCTCTGCACCCATTGCCTGCCTCCTGAATGTGAACGTGCTTGATGCTTTATTGGGGGTGGGGGAGAAAGTACAAAAAGATTTTTCTTCCCCTTAATCAAATCTCTCTGGATCAGGCTTTACAATGGGCAGCATCCTCACAAACATTCCAGGATTCTTACAAGGAACAATGAGAACTGAACTCCAGGTGACCCCAGCCTGCTAATCACTAGCTGATTACTAGCTAATCAGTGGCTTGCTTGTACAGGACACTGAATCCCAAATCGCTCTGGACTCTGCTGGGCTCTGGCCAGCAGTCACCTGGTTGGGAGCTCTGTTAATAGGCCTGAGTGGTATCAGGGTCACTGGGCATAATGCAGAGAGGTCAAAGGGTCACCCTTCAAGGATTCAAGTCATCCCTTGGGGCTTGGGGTGGGCAAGTGGAGACAATATGACCACTACTTGGGCCACCAAAATGAAAAAAAGAAGCAAGACAAAGAACCAGTCAAGGATGAGTTTACCTCTTTGTTCCCACCAAGTACCAGTCAAAATAAGGATACCAATACCCCATAATAATCACAACTGACATTTAGTTGGGAGTTCACAAAGTGCTTTACATGTTATCTCTTTTGAGGTTCGCCAGATTAGCAACAAAAGTAGGGGCGACAGGTATTATTATTTTCATTTTACACATGAGGATAGAGAGGTTAAAGGATTTGACCAGGGTAATACAGTTAGGAAGTGTCAGAGGTAGAATTTCAATCTAGGACACCCTGACTCCACTCATGGTGGTTTATCCATTACACTAGATTGCACCCAGGACGAAATTTCAGCTCCGTTGCTTATTACCTGTGAAATAAATAAATGGCAAATGCCAATTTTCCTTTCCAGGCCTCTGTTCTCTCTTCTAAGACAGGGTTAGACTAGATGGTCTCTAAGTTCTAAATCCTATGATTCTGAGATGCTTAGTCTTGAGCAAAAGCCAACTGTCACCCAGAGATGTGCCCGCAGCCTGCAGCCTACAGCCTACACCTGAGAGGTGCTCAACAGCTTTCTTCCAGAACTGTCCATCAACCCAGCTTCAGCTGGAATGCCTAGGTACTCAGTTGAGAACTGCCCATCCCCCACAGTGAGTCTCTCTCTCTCTCTCTCTCTCTCTCTCTCTCTCTCTCTCTCTCTC